CTGTGCAAGTTTGTAGACACCATGTCACCATCATTTTTTTAAATTCACACACCATTAAATTCAGCATAGTAAGAAAAACACTCTAAACATCTCTCAATAAGGCTATATGACATATTAAGGCCAATATGAGATATTTCTCAACCATTGAATTAAACCAAGGTCATTTCATGTGCAAGAAGGCAACGTTATAATATTTAAATTAAATCACCAATGCATCCTATGGGTTAATGCTATATCAAAAAATTGATGTCTCATCACCTCATCATTTGTGTAACATCCACTTAATTATAATTATTCAATTCATGAAAACCTCATTCAAGCATGTTAAAAAACATGTCTGGTTTTAATTTAATCGAACACCCTATAATTTACAAATTACATATAAAGGCTGATAATTTTTAATTTCTTAAATGCACCAACTATAACATCTAAGCATACCTCATGTGTTTAGGATGTTTCAAACCAAACAAAAATAGTTTAAATTTCAGACCTGTCATTAACCAATATTTACATTCAAATGAATTCAATGGTATGACATTAAACTGATGCCAATTCAATTCCCTCTTTTTGTCCTTTTAAGAACCCATTAATTTATAATGGAGGTAATGCATCATCATAGCCATGCAATAAAGTGGTTTCCACGTATATCAAAAATTATGCATCAAATGGGAAAAATTGCCAAAAAATATTCAATCCATTGCCTAATGTAGCTTCACAAAATTCAAAAATTGTTCTCAGCAAAATAACTCACATTAAAAACACATTAAAAGCCTTTATAACAGCTATACTTAATCATTTTTTTGTGAGTTTTGAAAATTTACTAGTAATCAATTCTCTTTAGTAGTTTGGACCCACATATTGTATTCAATGATTCATAGAATATCCATTGTTAAATAGTTTGTCAATGACTGGACATAATCTTAAGCGACAATTACTTAGAAATGTAAAGCAAACTTTAGAGAGAGCACAAGAGTATTTCATACCTCATTTCAACAACTTGTGCTAAGAGAATACTTGCTAGCAGAGTTTGACAATCATATGTGTGGTATTAGGTTTGAAGTGAGTGTGGTTAAGAAGCAGCTTGAAGACACATTACCAACCATAATAATCATTGCTCGCCTTTACTGCATGCCCCACATCAAATAACATAGACCCATAACCCACCCTACTACTTCATTGTGTTCACACCCACTATCATTTTTTTTTTTTCCCACACGAGCAGAAAACAAGATTCCACTTCTAGCCACCAACATCAATGTATATAATATAGGACTATTGATAACTCCTCATAAGCACCTCTTTTAGAAACACAGCCAGCACTTGAACAAACAATGAGAATGCTAAAGCGTGGATTAATATAATGTTTCATCAACCTTTTATTCGAAAAAGGTATCATTACATGAATGTATAAGCAAGTTTTAATTTCTTATTCCTGTCATATTTGAAATATGCAACAAATAGTACTTGACTGAATGTTTACTCTATGTCAAGTTGTCAAAAACTTTATTTCCAATTTCATTGCTTAAACATATATATGCCAGAATATTGTCTTTTTCCTTCCACGTTCTTTGCATATACTCAAAATCACATGATCATGCATTTATAAAATTTATAGCTCTTGCACAACTTATTTGAATCCTTTAGCGACAAATCACAATATAATATAATAAACTAGAAGCAAATAAAGCAAAACTAGATATTTAAACTTATCTCATTTCCATTTGTGATCACCCAGACGAATTTAGATAACCTTACCAGAACTTTGATCAAACCATTCGAGTAGCACTTTAACCAATGAATTAATGGGAATTAGCTCTTAAGATTGTTAGCACTTTAACTCAAAATCATAGTTTGAGTTGTGTCTAAAGATACTGTTCTTAAAAGCTATTTCACCACATTAGGTTGATTAGCGACAACTTTTTGAGATTAAATAGACTCTTCCAACTAAAAGCAAGAACACTGAACAACATAAATTCATGGAATAAAGTCAAGTATATGCACAATGAAGCAATGTGATAAAAGTGGAGAGAAAGGCTAAGAGCACAAAAGCTCCTGCAAAATGTGGTAAGCATTACTTTTTATAGGCAACGACTTTAAAAAATTGGGCAATAAAACTACCTTAATCACATTTAAAATCTATTATAAAAATAATGAGGCTAAATAAATAGATTTAAGTAGGGGGTTTATAATCAATATTATCAAATTATAATTTTCTTTTTGAAGGACTCATAATATTTTATAATATCCAACACTCGCATCATATGAAATCATGACAAAAGATCCTAGACTTGTCATTTAATTAAGAAGTTAGATTTGTTGTCAAGATTGATGATTAATTCTTTTAGCATGCCTTCGAAACAAAATACCAACAGCACTATCATAATCTTGCCAAACCAAACATGATTTAAATAACTCTTTGGTTTTTGTTTTCATTTTTTTTGTTTTTACTACCTATTTTGCTATGCAATTTTTGAAATTATTTTTAAAAAACAAATAAAAAGAAAATCTATTTGAATGTGCTAATTTAAAAATAGTTTAAGGATTAAAAATTGGCCAATAAAGATGGTCACTAGCGATTAATAGTAGTGGCTTATAATAATTATTGATCAAGATAACCATAGTTTTCAATAATCAAATATAATGTATTTTAAAAATAAAAAAATGAAATGAAAACAAAAACTGAAAATAGTTAGATTAAAACACTCATTCAAACAAGTTTTTTTAATTGTTTTGTTTTTAAAAATAAAAAATTGTTTTTGAAAAAACCCAAATAGGCCTGAATATTCTCTTTCTCTTTTTGTTTTTTTGACTGCACATCAATCATTACTTTTATATACATATTTCTATTGCATTTTCCTATTTCATTCTATTTTTAATTTGATAAAAGAAATTCAACACACGGATGATATGGGGCTTTAACCCATGCGATTTGCCAATTACTAGCATACCGTAGTTTGGTTTGATTTTTGTTACATTGATGTTGATTATGGTGAATAATAAAGTTAGTCTAAACTTAACATATTGACATTAAATTAAATATAGTTAGAGAGAGGAAATAAAAAGAAAATAGAATATCATCAATATAAATATAAATATACAAGGCGAATCAAAGTTTCAAATCTCGTTGGAAGATACTTACATTTAGTTATTGATAATAGGACTATCTTTAATACGATAACGGATAATGCTTGACATCAAATGAAACAAAACACTTTGTTTGAACCAAAATCAGAGCGATAGGCCTAATTGTGGTGATATCTAAAGACCAAGCTAGAAAAGAAGAACACTTGGCCCCTTAATAGTTCAATCTTGCACGAATAAGTGGGATGGTGCATTTTGAGAAAAGGCTTGACTAAGTTATGCCCACTTCATCCACTCTTTAATATTCTCAACGCACTCACGCTTATTTTTTCGCACAATGGAGCTTTCTTAGAGATTTAAAGGCACAAACAGCTGTGTACTCCTATTGGTGCCAAGTGTGAATTTGAAAGAGAATATGCCATTATCATTTGTTATAAATAGGTAATGAGCGTGTAATTTAAGGGATCTTGATACTCTACCAAATTTATACTAGACTTGCTTAGCACAAATATTTCTACTAGCCCTGCATCATCTCTAATTCGCCCAGCGCAACTTATTTTTCTTGTGCCAACTTAATGCTCGTTTAGATTTCAGTTGGATATAATAGATTATAAAAAAATAATTGATTAAGTGCCTGTTTGAATTTTAGTTAGGTGTAATAAATTATAAAAATAATTGATTAAGTGGTAGATTTTTATCATAATTGATTATATTATAATACGATCTGTTTGGATACTGTTTTTTTAAATTAATTTTAATAGAATTGAAGATATTTGAATAATTTATTTAGAATCAATTTTAGCTATATAAATTACCATAATTTTTTAATGTTATTAAATTTTGTGCCTTTCTTACAATTTTTTCTTGGGCCTTCCTTGTATTTTTTTTTCATATTTGATAGATAATTTGAATGCAAAAGCCAAGTCTGGGAGCTTTGAGAAAAAATTAATTTTTTTTGGCAAAAATTGATTTTCTGGACAAATGAGTGTTTGGATAGTTTTGCCAAAAATTAATTTTTTTGCCTCAAATAATCAATTAAGACGCTATCCAAACAGGCACTAAGTGATAGATTTTAATCATAATTTGTTTGGATTATCTCTATTACGCAATCTGTTTGGATATTATTTTTTTAAAATTAATTTTAATAGAATTAAAAATGTTTGGATAATTTATTTATAATCAATTTAGTTGTATAAATTACCATAAAGGATATTTCTTTTTAAAATTAAATTATAGATAAATTTGTATTTAATATTATTAAATTTCTTTCTAAAATGAATTTTATTTTTATTAAATTTTATGCCTTTTTTAATTTTTTCTTGAGCCTTTATTTGTAATTTTCCCAATGTCTTTGATTAGCTTTTCCCTAGAAGCTCACAAATACAGCTTTCAAAAAAATTAATTTTAACACTAATAATCAATTAATGACAAAAGTTGATGTTTAGATTTTTTTTTTGTTAACCAAATAGGCACTTAATGTCCAGCTGAAGAAATTGATTATTTGCCTAACCAAATTGGCACTTAGTGTCCGAAACTAGCTTCAATGTCTTATTTGCCTTTTCATATCTACGAGGCAGATCATTGTACTTGCTTTTCCTTAAATAATGTTATCAAGCTTTACCCATCATTGACAATGCATTCATTATTGTTCTTGTTAGTCACTCGACTTTTTAAGAAAATTGAAACAAAAGATTTTGAAAACCCATTCAATCATACGAGGATACACCCTTTGACATGCTTGGCATACTCTCACATTTAAAGGGCTGTGATGCTCCACAAAAAATCGTGCCAAAACAGTCCTTTTCAAATAACACAAATGAAAACGAAACTGAAAAATTTATTAGATGCCCTGGCCACAAATTCAAAAAAGAAGGAACGGCCCAAGAAACAATCTCGGGCAGTTCCCTCCCCCGCGGATCGTGGGACAGTTTGGACATTTTCTAAGCACATGGAATACGATACATTGTTCCACATACCGATTAAAACATTTGGAGCGACCTTGGCATTGCATTTGTGTCCATCTCCGAACTCCAATGGTGGTTGGTGACACTGTTTCAGCAGAGCGGGTGGAAGAAGTTATTTATTGTGGTTCGGCTTTGTAATCACCGTAATGGTTTTTTCGACCGCAGTTCAATCTTCTCCACTATTTCGAATCCCTCGCTCTACTATTCCTCTACCCAAATCCGCTCTTCGACTTCGTGATCCACGAATCATCGTCCTTCCTCAGCAGGCTTCAAGATCACGTGTCCCCAATTTCCCTCAGGTTCGAGATAACATTTGTGAGTTTTTTCCAGTATGATTTTGAGATTTCAGTTGTAATTGCGTTTTGAGTTTGTTTCAGGACGACAGTAATTTGGTCGATGATCCTGGCAAATGGAGACGCGCTATCAATTCGGCACGCGGTGGCATCGACGATGACGAGGACGACGGCAACGACGATGACGAAGAAGAGAGAAGTTTGGATCTATTGGTAAGGTTTCTTCGCAATATGTTCCAAAAGGTGTCAAAGAGAGCTAGAACGGCAGTTCGGTCTGTTCTTCCTCAAGCCATTTCGACGAAGCTGGTTAGGATCGTTCTCTTGAGTCCTTATATTTTCGCGCAATTTCCTGTAATCCATGAAAATAAGAGTTAATTAACGTATGCTTTCCTTGTAAGTAAAGTATTTTCTTATCTGACTCCGTGTCTTTTCCTAAGAATAGGTGATGAGTTAGGAAAATGGATGTTAATCTGACATTTAACTAGGGAACGCAATCACAATCAATTTATTTCAGTTATATCAGCGCTCTCCTAAATGCCAACCCTCAACCCAAGCCTTCAAGCTCTAGTGGGGAATGCACACTTCCATGGTACCCTAGTGGAGTCATAGTGGTTGAGTAATCTACAGAAATGGAGAAAGGGTTTCTGTATCATACATCCGTTAAATTGGATAATGTCTTCTATTTGGGGTTCTGGTACATGCAAGAAATTCGTGAATGTGTTAGGTCAAATTTTATAATAAAATCACCCGTTTCCTCTCTTCAGATGCCTGGGCTAAAGCTGGATTTTACTCAACTTTCAAGTAAAAGTGGGACTGTGGTTTTTCTTTTTGCTCATTCTTATAATGCAGGTGGGATTTTCTGTAAATGGTGTCCTTGTGCTGGCATTCTTGTGGATTTTTAAGGCATTTCTTGAGGTATTATCTTCATCTATTTGAAATGGGCATGAATATTGTTAACAACGTTGTTGCTGCCAACTCTAGCATCTAATGTGAACTAATTAAAGCATACTTTCTGCATTCAGGGGACATTCATTAGGATACTAGTATCTCTCTGGTATTTTAATGATATTTATGGAGATGTGCATAATAAAGCATAGCCAAATATTTTTTTGCTTGAAGCATCGTGTGGGAGCCTTATTAAACTGGATGATTTGAATTTGAAGCTATTCCTACTTTAGTAGTTTGTGATGTTGATTAGAATGTGAAAGTGGATGGTTAGCCTATTCTTGTATTGTAATTCTTGGTCCAGTAACAAGTATTCTGGAGTCTCTTTCAAGAATTTAGATATTCTTCATGTACTTTTGTTAAGGTTTTTCTTTGATTTAATTCACTTTGGACAATTGGGATACAAGAACTATGAATAGCCCCATAAGGATATGGGGATCTGTGGGGAACCTGTATGCCAACAACAATAATGGCAAAAAAGTTAAGTAAAATCCAATAAAACTAAAACAAAAAAAAAAAGATAAATATGAAAGACAGATTCAAACCATATAACCAATTTAGAACTGCACGTTCAACTTTAAATAAGAATATCTAGGGAGTTACTTAAAATATGATATTTGCCATTGGAAAAGGACCAGATCACAAAATCAAAATGTCAAAAGTACTACTGGAAATAGCAGCTGAATAAATTCCTTCATGTAGTGAACAAAAATTAGCTAGAGCTAATCAATGAGAAAAATCCCAAACCTACCTAATTGTGAAGACCTTCAAGGAATATACAATTTTACAAAGAAATGGAAGAAAGCAAAGGGAGTGTAGAATCAAGAACCTGGAATTTTTGAGGGAAGAGAAACTGAAATGTGAAGGTGAAAAGCTTTGGCAGCAGTAAGGGACTCGCTGATAGGGTTTTCTTGAATCCTCTTGAGAGGCAAATGAAAGGAAATTGGAGAGTTTTAACATGGGAGGGGCTACAATTATTGCTCATTAATTGCAAAATAAATTATTTTTTCAGAATGATTGTGGTTAATATGAAACTATAAAATGGAGGTATTTGTCAATGTATGAGGGGTGCTTGAGTAATTTGAACTGGCACATGATCCTTATTTCCAACTTGGAGTCACTGATAGGGGTAGTTTGGTTTTCATTCCCATCTCCATGGGGTACAAATTCCTCAGTTCAGATAATTGAATGGGGCAATCAGCAGGGACACCTGAACATGTGGATTTTTTGCCATCCCTGTGTGCAGTGTCTTTTCCATTTGAGCTTGTTTAGGATTTGCATTATGCATCCTCTCTTCTCTTGATAATTGCTAAAAGAATGCTGTAATAATAGGATTATTTTTAGGGTTAAAGGTCTAAAATGTCCCTCAACTAAGTGGAAAGGGTCAGGATTGCCCCTAAAGTCAATGAAGGGTCATTTTTATCTCTTAACTGTGTATATTTTCAATTCCATCACCTTGTTGTCTATTCCATCAAATTTCACTGTTAGTGGGACCTACATTGAATTTTTCAATATTTTAGTGGGACCTACCATTTTTTATAAGGTTAAAGGTCTAAAATGCCTTTTAACTAAGCAGAAATGGTTAGGATCACCCTTAAAGTCAAGAAAAAGTTAGTTATATCCTTCAATTGCTAAGATTTTTTTATTTCATTACTCTGTTGTCTATTTCGTCAAATTTCACCTTTGGTGGAGCCACATTTAAAATTTTTTAATATTTTTAGTAGGTCCCACCATTTTGTTTTAAATATTTTTAGTAGGTTTCCTCATGGCTTAGGCGTCACCTCCGGGTGAGTGTCTTTTCAAACTTGTAAAAATTTAAATCTCATGTCATGGCTTTCCGATAGCTCCAAGCCTGATTTTTCTACCGTAATTTCTAACTTTGCCCTCAAATTTGTCATTACTAAATGGTGCTAAAGCTCTGCCAACCATTGCAAGAACATGCTTTCGGTGCACTTTTCAGTGTGGCCATTCACAACGATAATAAGAATGCAATCAGCATGCTAGGTACTCTGCCATCGCCACTCCACTTGCTTTAATCCAAGAACGAGTGAATGAGAGAGGGAATGAAGGGGGGAGAGAGAGAGAGGAGAGAGGGAGAATAGGGAGAGAGGGAGAAGAGAGAGGGGTATTTTTTTAAAATTATAAAAAAAATTAAAAAATGATGGGACTTATTAAAAATATTAAAAAATTTAAATATGGGCCCCACTAACGTTAAAAATTGATAGAATAGAGGTAGGGTGATTAAATCGAAAATTTTAGCGGTTGAGAGATATAAATAATATTTTCTTAACTTTAGGGGTGACTTTGTTTCTTTTCGCTTAGCTGAAGGGCATTTTAGACCCTTAGCCTCAAAAAATATAATAAAAAAAATATTAAGTGGATCCCACTATTATATTTTACTATTAAAAAATATTTAAAAAATTTATGTGGGCCCTAATAATGAATAATTAATGCCAAGGGCACAGAGGGTGTAAAATTTTAAGATTGAGGGATGAAATTGACCCCAAGTTGAGTTAAGGTCATTTGTGAACTTTCGTGTACAGTTCAAAGATAAAAACGGCTCTTAACCTTTATTTTTAATCATTGGGGGCAATATAAATACTCACCTTTGCGAAGGTTTTTGTCACAAGATATACATGCCTAAAGTTTGATGTTTGTCAATGTTGGATTGCACACAAGTAATTAAATTGAGAAATCTGCAGCTAAAAAAAATTTAAATTAGGAAATCACTGCATGTAGAAATTTAAGTGATGTCCATAAAATTTGGATGCTGATCAATGCTGCAGCATTTAGAATGTTGGTTTCTTGTACTTTTAGTTTGTTTCTGTTAATCCCTGAGAAGATCGAATTTACTCGTTCCTGTTAGGATCTGATTTTGTCAGACTTTGTTTCCCTGAGGCATGCGATCTCTACACACGTCAATCAGCCATAATTAAATTATGTTTCCATGTCTTCTAATAGTAATATAACAATGTAATTCAGACAATCAAAAACGCTAAATTCCTTCCGTCAACGTTTGCTTTTCAGCAAATTGTCAAATTAGAGTACTTAAGGTTAATTGATCTGGAGGCAAAGTCGTCTGAATAAGATGTACATTCAGAAATTCTGTTAAAAATATAAGTGTTTATTTTGTTTTTCCATTTTTGGCTGGGAGTGAAAAGCAATTATTCTTTCAGGCTTGGAGAATTTGGTTTAGTGCCTCTTTTCAAGATTTCTACTTCTTGTTCTTGCCTATTGATACCTATAATTATTCGCTGTAGGTGGTATGCACATTTGGAAGTGCAGTGTTTGTGAGCATCCTGTTAATCCGGGGGGTGTGGTCTGGTGTCACTTATCTACAAGAAAGCCGAAGCCAAAAAATGAACGGCCTTGATGAAGAGTTCCACACTTGGAATGGTGTGCAGCCTGTTACTTGACTCGTTTAGAGAACCATTTTCCATTGTTGGATGGTTTACAGCCTGCGACTTGAATGAAGAATAATATCTTCCTTTAGAGAAAAAGGAACTTAGAACTGATGAATATTAGAGAAACTACAAACATAAGGCAGTAGTGGAAGCAACCGTGGCAGCAATTCTGACTGACTGACAATGAATCCGGAAAGCACCTGAACGAGAATCTTCTGCATTTTTTCTACAGACTGTGTAAACATATCATGAAATCCCTTTTCTCCCACTTCCCACCTGGGAACACATCGATTGATCTCCCCAATTTAAATTATGAAAATGTTCACGAGTACATTAGTATCTTGTTTTATTTTTGTTGGGGACATTTAAATTCATACCCAATTAAGAGCAAGTAGAGTTGACATTATATTTCCTGTTTTAATCTTGGTCTAGTATTTCATTTTATATTTCACAAGCTAAGAAGCTGACCAGTTGCCCGCATGTTGGGCCGGCTTGATTGCCTCTCACGTGATCATAACTTGTTGCACGTATTTGCTTGCTTCAATTATTCTATGCTGTTTACTGAGACGTCACTTGAAAATTGAATAATTTTGCTTTTTATTACTCCTTGTTATCATTCTTCCCGAATTTGGGGATTGTAATATTGGGACTCCTGCGTCTCCATTAAGATGGTTATTTATAATACCTTATGCACCCTTTGAAGGCAATAGATATGGATGTGCTTCCATGCACATTTTAGATTAAAATGCCTTTAAGATTATTCTGAATCCTGAATTATTCACTACATAGCATTTGTGGGTAGCAAACAATATTGGATAGACTTTCATTGAATAGATCATATTCTGTATGTGTGTTAGTTGTGATGTCAATAGAATGAACGGCTTGCCACCTAAAGAGCATCTTAATAATATATATTAGACCTGATTTTAGGTTAAAAATCTCACTCAGTGAGATTGATTTAATCCAGGAACAGCTTTTAGGTTAATAATATTGACAGGTTCAAAAGTAAAATTTAATTAAGAACAGCTTTTTTTTACACGATTAAATTTTTAGCCCTAAAAAACTATTTTAAATATTTTTAATTATAATTATAACATTCTGTCTCATTTCAATATTATACTTGTTTTTATGTTCGTAATTTTAAAGTGACTGCATATATATATATATATATATATTCGTTTGGAAAGAAGACGAATTGAAAAAGTATAGAGACATTTTCCAAAATTAATTATTAAAAATCATAAAATTGTCAAATTAATCACATGGGAAGACTATGTATATGGCATATGAAGAACGTCCATTACTAGAACAACGTAGAGTGGAGTGGAGTGAGAAAGAATGGGATAGCACGAAACATTCGATTGTTTGGGAGTTTTATTAGAGGATTGAATGATTTTTTTAATTATTGTCTAAGAATTAAGAATTATTATAAAATTAATAGATTTGATTTACATATGGTTATAATTTCTTAGTTTGAAAGGGAGTGAGAGAGTGACATGGGTGAGAATGACAAAGGTAATTTTATAATAATGTTATTTATATCAGATGATTTCACCCTTGACCCTAAATTGGGAGTAAAAAAAATAGGTTTAGGTCACATTTTACTTGAAATAAATGGATTCAAAAAAATAAAAGTAAAAATAAGATGATCAAAGGAAATGTGTAAGCACATTTATAAAAGGAAGGGTTAATTTAATTTATAAAATTAGAAATCATGATTCATGATATTTTTGGAGGGTATGATGATTTTTACATTTATAGTATATTTAATGAGTTTTATTATACTTATAATGAAAAATGATGATTTAATTCATTTTTATCTTGATTTTTTCAATTCAATTTAATTCATTTTTTTACAATAACCAAACATGACCTTAGGATATCTAATAATGGCTTGGAAAGCCATTCCAAACCATTTCACTCCTTTTTAAAAAATTCTTTCAGATAGTAATATGAAACTTAGTCATCTCACTTGATCCCATTCCATTATATTCCATAAAAAAAATAGCCTATTATAAAAAATTAATATATAAAAGATCAACATATTTTAATTTTGTACCATTTTAGTATTAAAATTAAAAAGATTAAATGGCAAATTGGTCACTAAGGGACATCAACTCATTTTTAATGCAATGTTAAACTTTTAAAAATGATATAATTTGATCCTCTATTTCTACAATTAATAAAAGTTTTCTTTCATTATTGGTTTGAAAAAAAATAGAAAAAGACATAATATACTCTTCCAATTAAAAAATGTAAGGCATTTTTAACTAAATTTTACCTCCTAATAAAGTAGTTATTTACTTTTTAATTAATTTTATCTTTTTATATTTATCCCTATTAAATACTCTACAATAAATATAAAGTCAATTATTAATAGAGATATTTTTTAAAAAATAATGATTATATTTTAAAAAATTAAAAATATTTTATATTTTTAAATGAGAGAGTATCATTTTCCTATCCAAGAAGTGGTCCCATTTACTATCCAAGAAGGTCCCATTGATTCATAGGATAGGAGTGTGAATGAATGATCTTTGGAAAAGCAAATTGAATCTTCTCTAATCATGCATCCGCAAAGAAAAGCGATGGTTGGTTTTTCCGTTATTTATTTAAATTTAAATAATTCATCATAATACCAACTCTTCATGTAATTTATAAACGTCAAAATAGATTACATGATCCTTATTAATAAAAATTGAAAAAGAATAAATGATAGGTGTACTAACTCATTAAAATAAAAACTTAAAATATTTTTTTATTCTTTCTCTAGTTTTTCTTTTCTTTGCAAACCCACATTTTTTTACCTTACAAACATAGCATTGAGAGCTCTTTAAAAGTATCAAATACGTTCATGGAAGATTTTGTTCAATATCAAATAGACAAAGACGGTGATGTCGTACCACATAATAAAAAAAATTGAATTCATTCATTGGCTTCTCAGAGACAAAAACATCGAGCTTACATTTTAGAATTGCTTTATGTAAATACACTAATTTTATAACGAGTTTTTTGGAGTATGTTTAGTATGCAGAATAAAATTGTTTAGAATTTCTCCCCTTGCACTGTTAAAACTTTTGTATTCAATTTCAAGGTTTGCTTGCCTTTTCAATTAAAAAAATTAAACAGGAATAAGAATAAATTTATAAATGGAAGTGTCTCTAATATTATTAATCAACAAAAATAAAAAAATATTTTTAGATAATTAAAAATAAATATGTAAAAATTTTGGACAACTAATAGAAAAAATTTCTCCAAAATAAAACAATATAAAAAAAATCACATTTTAAAACTTTTGTAAAATATAATAAAAAATATTTATGAATAATAAAACAAAATGCCTTTGAGTATTTATGAATAATAAAAAAAATTTCTTGCACAACAAAAAAATGCTTACACTTTTTTTTTCCATGCCAAAAAATGCTTTTACTGTGAAAACCAAACTCAGGCCAAAAAAAAAATCAAATGTAATAAAAATAAAAATATAATTTTAAATTTTTATACTTTATTAACATTTTTCTATTAATTTTTATATTTTTGATCCTTATATTTTTATTTTTTATTATTTTAAGTTCTATCAAGATCTCCATACTTTATTTATGAATGAATTTAAAATAATAAAAAATAAAAATACAAAAGTAAAAAATACTTAAAAAAATATAGGAGCTAATAATAAAATATAAATAAAATATAAGAATTTAAAATTATATTTTTTTAATAAAATATGGAGACGTGAGGGATAAAGAATTTGCATTTTGGCTAAATAAAATAATAAATCGGCGGCAACAATAGATTTCAAATTTCAAAAATCAAAAGAAAAAGATTAACCCATGGGTTACCATGTTGGTTATCCTAACACAACGCCAACGGGTGTCAGCCAACTCATTCCCTTCCTGCCGTCCGTTGGTATGGAACACGACAGCGCATCGCCCTATTTCAAAATTTAAATATCTCCCCTTGCTGCTATAAGTACCGTTCATATCTCACCCTTCTCTTTCCATCCAAAGGGTTTCAGAAGAAGGCGTCTTGATAAACGCCTTCGATCTCTGTCTTATCTGCAATTCCTGTTTTCTGATTCTCATTCTTTCAATCCTCGTCTCTTTTTCTCCGTTCAGCGACAATGAGAGAGTGCATTTCGATTCACATTGGTCAGGCCGGTATTCAGGTCGGAAATGCCTGCTGGGAGCTCTATTGTCTTGAGCACGGAATCGGGGTTAGTATCTGTTCCTCTTGCTCTTTCAATTAATGTTGCTAAATGGTTGGATCTAAGTTTTCTCTGTTTTTTGCTTGGTTTTCTCTCTGGATCTGAATATTATCGTTTGTTTTGCGTATATCTTCTGCCATTTGTGTTGCAAGTTGTTTTAGTTCACAGATCTGGAGTTTATAGTTGTCAGTTATAGTATTATGGCTTTGGATCTGGAATCTGCTGGATCTAGGTTTTGGTTTTTGTAGTTTCGAGATCTGGGATTTTTGAATGTTATTGGAGTTTCGGTTCATTTTTGTGGCTTTGTTTCCTTCTTGTTTCTCACTTATACAATCAAATGCCTTCTGAATCATCAGATCTGTAATATCGTTACGCTTCTATTACTCAACGGCTTGTGTCGAGAATTAATAGTTTTTCTAGATCTGGACGCTTCTTGTTGATTTTGACTCAAATATATGCAATCTACTCTATAGCCTGATGGCCAAATGCCCAGTGACAAGACCGTGGGGGGTGGTGATGATGCTTTCAACACCTTCTTTAGCGAGACCGGTGCAGGAAAGCACGTTCCCCGGGCTGTTTTCGTAGATCTTGAGCCAACTGTCATTGACGAGGTGAGGACCGGAACTTATCGCCAACTCTTCCACCCTGAGCAGTTGATCAGCGGAAAAGAAGATGCTGCCAACAACTTTGCCCGTGGTCATTACACCAGTAAGTGATTCTATCAAAGCGTCATCTTTTGTTCTTGTTTATTTATCTATGTATGTTGTGATAGATTGTTTATTAATGCTGAATACTATATTGCAGTTGGGAAAGAGATCGTTGATCTTTGCCTGGACCGCATCAGAAAACTTGCTGACAACTGCACTGGTCTTCAAGGGTTCTTGGTCTTCAATGCCGTAGGTGGAGGCACTGGTTCTGGGCTTGGTTCCCTTCTTCTGGAACGTTTGTCTGTTGATTATGGAAAGAAATCAAAGCTTGGGTTTACAGTCTACCCTTCACCTCAAGTATCCACCTCTGTTGTTGAGCCATACAACAGTGTCCTCTCTACCCATTCTCTCTTGGAGCACACTGATGTGGCTGTTCTTCTGGACAATGAAGCTATTTACGATATCTGCAGGCGCTCCCTTGACATTGAGCGTCCCACCTATACCAACCTGAACCGTCTGGTTTCTCAGGTATATTAAACAAAGTTGGGATATATTGTATCAGCCTATGGG